GATATTATTGAGATATGATTGCTGCATAGTATTTTTAGTTTCCTATTAGTTTATATCTGTATATTTTATAGCAAGGATCGTAACTCCTAGTTCTTTTTAAAGACCTTGTAAGATTATATGGCAATACAACAATGAGAATTCATTAAGTTTACAACAAAAACATCTAAGTCATCCTAAAAAGACGATGATCTTGTATATTATATTAGTGTATAATACGTGGTTTCCATGATCTTGGTTTGCTGGAGTTCATAAATTTCTAGTAGTGTATAATTAATTTTACTGTATTAAAACTAGTAAATCATACAACTAAATTATCTAAGTCATCTTAAGATACACATGAATTTTCAGAATTTTTTTTTTATTTACGTGGTTTCCATGATCTTGATTTGCTGGAATTCAACAGTTCAATTAGTATAAATTAAATTTCTGGTATTAAATCATGTAAATCTTACGACTAAAACATCTTAGTCATCCTCACAAATCCCATGATTTTGTTTATATACGTGGTTTCCATGATCTTGATTTGCTGGAGTTCATAAATTTCTTTAAGTATATAGTTAAATCTGAGGCTATAGACATGGTAATATGCTATACATATCATAAATTATTTCTGTTTATAGCATAACATGTACATGACTCTCTGTATATCTTAAGTCGCTTCCAATTCATTAACATAAAATAAGATCTAGAAGTATGAACTTGAATTCTATATAAACCCTATAAATTTTTGTTAACCTACACAAAAACAACATATAACAACCAAACAATCTTTCTCCTACAAAATTATCATTTTCCTTCTGTCAAGATGGCTTCTAAAACTATTGCCATTGTTCTCCTCTTCAACATCATCTTCTTCACTATGGTTAATGCTCAATGTCCCCCAGACCAACTTGTTGTTAATGTATGTGCAAGTTTGTTGAATGGAGTGGTTGATGTTTCTCTGCCNCAACATATAACAACCAAACAATCTTTCTCCTACAAAATTATCATTTTCCTTCTGTCAAGATGGCTTCTAAAACTATTGCCATTGTTCTCCTCTTCAACATCATCTTCTTCACTATGGTTAATGCTCAATGTCCCCCAGACCAACTTGTTGTTAATGTATGTGCAAGTTTGTTGAATGGAGTGGTTGATGTTTCTCTGCCAGCAGGATCTTCTCCTTGTTGTCCCCTTCTCAGTGGTATCGTGGACGCAAACGCTGCCGCATGTCTTTGTAGTGCAGTTCGGGCTAATGTCGGAAACTTTGTTAACCTGAACATTCCAGTAGCAGTCAGCTTCACACTCAACCATTGTGGCCTTCCAACGGATTTTCAGTGCATTTGAATAATTTCTTATCGTTTTTCTATATTTCTTGCGTTCTTTTATGTCTTTTTGTTTCCAAAAAAATAATTTTTCTTTGTCTTATTTTGACCAATATTACTGGTTATGGTTTCGAGTTTATTGTTTTTTCTCCTTGAGTTTGTTCTCTTGAGGTCTTGAATTTTATGTATTTAATAAAAGCTTAACTTTGAATGGCCCTCTTTGGGATGCAATTGTTCATTATCGTTCGTAAATTAGGTTAAGAAAGTGAGTGTTCAAGATTAATTTTATGAGATGATAAAAGGAAAAATTTGGTAGGAAATCTTGTTTATATTAGAAGCCATTTTCCTCAGAGCTGCTTATTACCAAAAGGGTGTTTCCGACGCATGTTCATGGGTAGCCTGTCATCATACCCTTACTGTTCATGAGAAATTTCTCACCTGGGGCGAGCGTGGTGACTAGATCGACCTTGGAAAATAAATCCCCCTTGTTATTTTTCTTGTTGGAGTTCATTGTCAAATTTCGAGCGGAGTTTGTGATTACAAGTGTTTTTATTTGAAACATGGCGAAAGGACATACCACTAACGAGCAAACACTCCAATAGGTTTTTGAAATTAATTCTTACTTATATGGCTTAGAGCCTTCTGTTGTTTCTATGCTTCCATGTGACGCTCTTACCGACTTGGGCTCGAGAATGTGCGGATAAATCTGTGACAGGGTCTTGCGCTCGTGGTTAAGTAGTCATGCTGCCTCATGGTATTCGCTATAGAAGAGCCTCTGGAGTATCCTGCAATTTTTGTTTGTGTGTCCTATCATCTGGTGATACTCACATAATCAGTTATTTTCTTCCGCCTCTAGGTCGGAAACAACTCGGTTATCTTCTGACCGAGATGTGAACTGAGGACTATCATTCACCATACTGAAAGCAATTATTGAAGTAAGTTGGGATATTATTGGATATTATTGAGATATGATTGCTGCATAGTATTTTTAGTTTCCTATTAGTTTATATCTGTATATTTTATAGCAAGGATCGTAACTCCTAGTTCTTTTTAAAGACCTTGTAAGATTATATGGCAATACAACAATGAGAATTCATTAAGTTTACAACAAAAACATCTAAGTCATCCTAAAAAGACGATGATCTTGTATATT